ATAAAAAAGTGAAAGTGAAAATAATCCCAACCTTATCTGCATTTAAAAAAATATGTATTATTTAAATAAATATTTCTTATTTATTTTTCATTTTATTTTATTATTTTCATTTGTTTTACTACTTTTATATTTTATTTTAAATAGAAGTGAACTTAATCACAACATTAGCTGCTATTTAATTACATTTTTATTTATTTTTTATTTAAAAAATCCTTTTGTTTACTTCTTTTTTATTTTATTTTATTTTAAATAGAAGTGAAAATAATACACCTTAGCTGTATTTATTATTATTTTAATTTATTTGTTTTATTTATTTATTTATTTTTCTGATTTTAGCATTTTGTCTTTGGTATTATCTAAAGTAATCACAAACTTAGCAGCATTTTAATGTCATCCTTTGTAGAAGTGTTTGCAGAGCTCTCTTTCATGCGGTCACACACTCATTCCCCGGTAACGTTCAGTCGTTCCACTCCTCACTGGAGTTTTCTGTGTGTTCTGTATTCCCTGCTGGTTTGGATCCAGTGAAGCATTGGAAGAACATCAGCTCTCCTCATGAGTATCCGCTCCAGCCAATCACTATCAGCTCCATCAACGCTTATATTTCTCTTTCCCAAACATTATCCCAAAGGAGGATGGGAGAAACTCTTCATCAGAATGAAATCAGAAATTTAAACTATGGAAAGAATTGTTCCAGGTTTTAGTGTTAATCTGACTTACGGTTTTGGGAAGGAAACATAGCAACGAGTGAGTTGCTGTGACACCGATGTTGCACAGAAAACACACACACACACTCCCTGTTTTAGAGGATACAGTATCACCGGTTCCTCTACATTACTCACTGATCCTGTAGGGAACACTGCGGTTTCTGTGTGTCGAGGACGATCAGCTCAGACTTCGAGGGAAACCCAACAACAGCCGTCCGCTTTCAGGAACACACCCTCATATGTGTGTGTCTCATATTCACTCTCATCCATCACCGGATCCCACGAGCAGAACTCACACTTGCTGGAGCACAGCAAGTGAGATCATCCTCACTTTGGCTATAGTGCATAATATAACCAGGGTTATAATAGTTAATTAAACTATAAAACTACTAAAACCATTTCTGTTAAAGGGGGGGTTGACTGCTTTTTTCTTTGCAATGTTTGTGTTCATGGGGTGCAATATAACATATATAACGCGCTCTCCTCTGTCCTCGAACGAGCGGTTGACTTCCTGATTCTATGAAAACACTCCCTCAGAAATACGTAGTGGGCTCAGATTGGTTAGTTTGGGCCGGTGTGTTGTGATTGGCTAAACTGTCGCTCACGTTGTCCGGAAGGTTAACGCCCATTACCTTTACGGGCGAAACGTGAGCTCCGGTCAAGATGTAAATATGTGTCGAACTACAGTAACAGTTTGAGGCATAATCAGACCGAGAAAGCCGCGATGAAGAGAGTCAAGCAGAACCTCACCACACACGGCTCTTACTAAACGTTTCTGAATGATAATTTAATACATTTTTTAACTTTATGCACGTTTGTTTTACACAATACCATCTGACTGGCAACAATAGCAACTGACTGGCTACTAATGTTAAACACAAACAGCGTTGGCAAGTTTACGTTCTTGATATAAAGCACATATACATGAAAAATACGTTTAAAACATTAGTACTTATACAAAATTCAGATCCATAATGTTTGTACGCGTTTGTCGTAGACACAATAGCATTAGCCTATAGTGGCTATAAAGCCAGCGCTGGCATTTGAAAAAAATAAAACACAAGGCTACGTCTGGAAATATACATGGAAATACATTTAAAATGATTAAGTCTTAGCCTACTTACAGGTTGTGGCCCAACAACTGCTGCCTCTGGTTTTAAAGTTGAAACTGCTTCACGTTTTAGTAACAGTTCTTGTTAAATCTGGTGTTGAACTCGTTGAGATTCTGGAAGCTGTCTTCTGTAAAATGTGCAGCACAGAGAGCTAGATTACGATCGTCATTTTCAGGAACATAATCAAACATAAATTGTATTCATTGTTGACGAAGTACAGCGTCCGTGGGAAGTTCGAATACAGAAGACCTGACAGCTGCGTGAACAACACACTCGACGAGATGTCCTTTTCTGCATATTCCGGAGGGAGGGTTGATGCGATGTGGGTTAGTGACGTCTAAAACCCAGCTGTAGTCCCAATCGAGTCGTTTTTGTAGGCAATTAAACTTCCTGATTTTTAAAAGACGATATCTCTGCTCACACTGAACTTTCAGCGCTGCAACTTTGCAGATACTGTTCATGCATCAACAGCAACGTTACACACTATTTAAAATGAAAAAAGTGAAATCGCAGTCAACCCCCCCTTTAATTGAAATATAGCGGAAATTAAATCAAATCTAAAATATTAAATAAAACTAAACAAAAATGTTGCCTTGTTGAAGCACTTTAATTATTAACTGGATATAAATCAAACTAAGCCTAAAACTGAACAAATAGCCTACTAACGGAGCAACTTATAAATGAATGTGTTTAATTCTAGGAAAAAAAATATGATTTTTAAACATAAACATAATTTTGTTATTGTTGTTATTTTATGTTAAAAATCAAATGAAAAAATAAAACCTGTTAAAATCCATCCTGCACTTTAATATTTTATTTCTTTATATGTTTATTTATTTTTTTTCCATCAATACATCTGTTTTATTTTTGTCATCAGAGCTAATTTGTGTCAAATGCGTACCATAAATAATAAATATTATAAAATATCATGTGATGGCAAACGTGTTAATATCTGACTACCATTTGGGATAACTACTGCTTTATTTATTTATCCTTTTTTCATTTATCCTTATTTATTTATTATTTTTTATTTTTTGTTTATAAAATTATAAAATAATGTTTGTAAATATTGGTCCCATTTGATTTATGACATAATGTAGCTAATCAAATTGGACAAATATTTACAAAAATGATTTTATTATAAAATATAATTAAAAAAAAAAAAACTGCATCCAGAGTTAAATAATAAGTAAGCGGTCCAGCACTGGTCATGTCCATCGCCCTCACTGAAGTGTTGATTCAGGAGGAGTGCAGAGAACACTTTGCTAATTACAGATGTTCCTCATTAAAGGTTTGCATGGGCTGTAATTACTGCTGTCAGTGCCTGCTCTGCATTATGACATGTTTCAGAAGCCGTTCTCCAGCTGTTCTGAGCTCAGTGGATCCATTACACACATGAAAACTCGTCCAAAACATCTTTTGGAAGCAAAAACCAGACTGTTAAATGGTGTGTGTGTGTTTGTGTGCATAGAAATTACTCGGAGAACACACTGCTTCTCATCTAGACTCCAGTCATGCACATGTTTAATTATATACTATATACACATTTCTGCATTTTTCATTGGCATTGCACTAAAAATCATAAATTAGTCCTGTGGATGTCATGTCAGAGAGTTTTTCTCACAGTCAGATCGGATGCAGCCGTTAAACATTCAGGCTCAGAAACGGAACAGTGATTATTGATACCCTTGTGTGTCAAAAATTTCTGGAAATCTGTAATTATTATCTCCAGAAAATGATGAATTGTGGAATTCCCTCCCTGAGTTGATTCTATTAGGCTTGAAATATCTTGGACAGGGTTTTATTTCCCACTGCCTCCCATGACCCGAGTGTTAAACTGACCCTTGCTCGACCCTCTCTCTCTCTCTCTTTCTCTCTCTCTCTCTCTCTCTCTGCTAGGGCTTCGGGAGTGTGTCGGCCGAACACTGGCTGGGAAACGAGTTCGTTCACGTTCTGACCAATCAGAGGCAGTTCGGCCTGCGCGTGGAGCTGAGCGACTGGGACGGACACCAGGCCTTCTCCCAGTACGACAGTTTCCACATCGACAGCGAAAAACACAAATACAGGTAATTCCTCTTCCTCATTCTCAATGCATTATACATTGTGTGTTATTTAATGCATAAGTGTTAATGCATATGCATATATGTATAATATTCATACAGGTGAAACTCAAAAAATTGGAATATGGTGCAAAAGTTCATTTATTTCAGTAATTCAACTTAAAGGGTGACACTATATTACAGTTTTTTTTATTCGCTTTGGTACTATTTTCACAAGTAAGGTGTACATTTTCAAAACTCTTAGTGCTAATATCACAACAGATCATCAAAAGTGCACTTTTTTTCAAACATTTAATCATGTTTTCTACTGTGTTAGTACAATTCACACAATCACAAAGTATCCTTTTCACAACACAAAATAAGTGTTTCATCTACATTATTGTTTCATTCACAGTAACTGCCTTTCATAAAGCTCTTACTATCAAACTTTTGATTTGCATCTCTTTTTGTTCAGTTTAATACTTTTGTCTATTATTTAATCCAACTGATCTTAATGTTTAATCAATTAATCATTTGGTAAACCTATAGATTTTCAATTCAGCAATATACAGTATATGGATTTTGAGAACTACAGAAATACGTAAAATGTGTGTTTGTATGAATATTTACAAGTAAATTACATGTAACCACACATGATGAATACTCGTTATAGCTAATTGATTTCACATAGTGGTAACCACAATTGGCCACTATGTACAGTAATGTGTGCACTAAATGTTATGTTTCGTTCTTATTTACGTAGTTACATTTCATTATAGAAAGTATACCTATGTTACAATTTTATCTGAAAAATAAAAACTATAATTTGCCTAAATGATTGTAGAGGATGTCTTCATTGATCCTTCACTTGATTAGGCCTACATATATGATGGATATTTGAAAATTATAGATTATGTACGTAAATGTTGGGTACTGTAAGTGTATTGCCTAATGTTACAGTAAAACTGTGTAATCTGTCTTTTATAGTACTGTAGCATATTCATTTCAGCACTTCTAAGGCCGATTTGAAACGTGTATCTTGCATTGTTTGCTGTTGGATGAACTGATTGTTAAAAGTACTAAACTGAAAGAAGATCATATTGTTGTGTTTCAGTGATTAAACCAAATGTTCTCATTACATATTACAATAATCTTGTGTTTTGAAATAATGATTATGTGGACTGAAAACATGTGCAACTGACTGAAATCATTATATCAGGTTTTGAAAGAATGACTAGCTGCGTTACAAGTGTGATCAGTTTGGATTTTTGTACTAAGAGTTTTGAAAATGTACACCTCACTTGTGAAAATAGTACCAAAGCGAATAAAAAAACTGTATATAGACTCATTACATGCAAAGTGAGATATTTCAAGCCTTTATTTTGTTATAATTTTGATGATTATGGATTACAGTTATGAAAACATTTTCACATTTTTTTTTTTTTTTTGAATTTGGGGTTTTCCCCAAATACAGACAGACATACAGACAGATAGATGGATGGATGGATGGATGGATGGATGGATGGATGGATGGATGGATGGATGGATGGATGGATGGATGGATGGATGGATGGATGGATGGATGGATGGATGGATGGATGGATGGATGGATGGATGGATGGATGGATGGATGGATAGATAGATAGATAGATAGATAGATAGATAGATAGATAGATAGATAGATAGATAGATAGATAGATAGATAGATAGATAGATAGATAGATAGATAGATAGATAGATAGATAGATAGATAGATAGATAGACAGACTGACACTTAAACACACACGGCCATTTTAATTTTGGGTGAACTATACGCAATACATATTGTCACTCTCCACGATACATATTGATGCATTTGTGTATTGCGATATATTTTGACAGATGTAAAAGATTAGTGAGATTTAGTAAGATTTAAGTTTCTTCTGCTCACCAAAGCTCCACTTATTTGATCAAAAATACAGTAAAATCAGTAACATTCTGAAATATTATTACAATTTAAAATAGCTGTCCTCTATGTGAATATATAGTAAAGTGTAATGTATTCCTGTGATCAAAGCTGAATTTTCAGCATCATTACTCCAGGCTTCAGTGTCACATGATCCTTCACAAATCACTCTAATATGAGGATTTTGAAGTCTATAATATTGTGTATATGTGTGTGCGCGTGTGAGCGTGCCTGTGTGTGGGTGTGTATAAATATCTATTATATAAACCTGAAGTTCATTCATAGTTTTACTCTCTATGGGATTTTTAAATGCCTTTCATGGATGAAACTATGTAACTAACTATCTGGGGTTGAATTAGTGTCAGAAAAGTCAAAGAATACGCAGAGATCAGTGTTCACTTGCACTCTCTCTCTCACACACACACACACACACACACACACAGGCAGGTGTTCGGCTACACACACACCTCAGATGTGTGTATCTGCACACTTGGCCGGCCGTCGTGGAGTTTCAGGAATCTAATCTTCATTCTCATCTCTAAAAATAGATGTGTTCTCTCGAACGGTTATGCTATGGTAATCACTCACTGCCTCTTGAGAATACTGGACCTTTCTTTGGCCCAACACACAGTGTGTGAGAGGTTGCTACTTCTGGAAACTCAGATTAGACCTTCAGATTCCAACCCAAGAACCTTTTTAGTTTGTGTTTATAAAAAGCACACGCAGTAGATGCACTACGAAGATATGCTTTATCCTGTACGTCGCTGTTAAATCCCAGCTAAATGTTTTCAGCCTGATTTTCTTTATGCAAAGGAATTTTTATGCTGTGCCAACATGGTTTGTGTTTAGGTTTAGACAGACATGGACTTTATATCAAAGAGGAAGGCGTAGGTTAAGTTAGTGAACATTCTGTCATCATTAACCATGTGTAACATTTATTATCATTAGATTACATTTATCTTTACATCCCTTATGTCATTCCAGAACGGTGTGACTTTATTCTGTGGAACACAAATCTAAATGTTTTGAATAGTTTTTATTTCAGAAACCAAGAATTGTCCCCCGTAGTCAATAATTGTATTCTTTAAAACTCAAATTTGGTCACCAAACGTTTTTAACATGAAAAAAATGTCTTCATGCCTTAAAATATCTTGAATGTAACTCGAAGCCCTCGCCTCATTTAGTATGCGCGGTTCTTAAATATGCAAATGAGCCCCGTCTCCACTCACTCACTCACCACTGGTTGACGATCACACGTTGATCTGATTGGTTACAAGGTCGTTTGTGACGTCAGAAACACCAGCGATTTCAAATCGTGTTTTTGAGACTGTCTTTGGTTCACTGCAGTTTTAAGGAGGAAATACTCAGCAATGCTGTCCACGACGCATGCGCGAGATTTGCGATCTGCTTACACCAGCACTACTTCAGATCGCAATTCTCGCGCATGCGTCGTGGAAATCTATAAGGAAGTCTCGTTCTGGCCTACAAGGAAGAAAAGAAATAGTCGAATAAACTCGTTATTTTTGTTTGTTTTTTCGCACAAAAAGTATTCGCGTCGCTTGATAAACATATAGTTGAGCCACGGTAGTCACTTGGGATATTTAAACATTTTCTTCATTGACTTTCTGGGCCGTCAAGAGGCAGTCCCTTAGGAGCCAATGTGGTAGTTATACAGCTCTCAAATTTAATCAAAAATATCTTCATTTGTGTTCCGAAGACGAACGAAGGTCTTACGGGGTTGGTACAGCATGGGGGTGAGTAATTAATGACTTAATTTTCATTTTTGGGTGAACTAACCCTTTAATGATCTGTAAGAATGGATCTTTATTAATACCAGTCATTGATTCAAGTAACTTTTTTGACATTTGTGTATAAAGTGTTTTATTTCTACAAAATATTTGTTTATTTCTAAAAATACTCTTCAGGTTGAACGGTGGCTACTGCAGTTGAATTTTCATATTGGATGTTAGCAGTTCTTCGTGACGTACGCACGTTTCAGCTCACCACTCTCTTGGCACGAGATACGCTTTTGGCAGTATAAAAACCAGCTTGTTTCGTCAAAACCACTGTAGCGAGTCAGGAGTTGGAATTGCGAGTATTGAAAATGATTAGACTAGAGTGTTTTAGCGTCTGTTTCATCCCCTCTATCTCCGCTGGGGTCTGTCCACTTTTACCGCAGTTTTCAAATAGTTCCAGTGGGTGGAGTCAGGACCAGGGGTTTAGTTATCTGTTACTTAGTCTCAGCCTCAGACGTCACGCCCACGGAACGTTGGCTAAACGTCTGATGCATATGGTACACTTAACTGGAAACACCTCAGGAATGTCGAAGTCGTCACCTGATTGGTTGAATTTTATCGAATTTCCGGGGGCGTCAGTGTCGCGTTTATTTTCGGTCTGCCGGGAAACAAAGCGCAGATGTGTGATTGCGGAAGAAAAACTGTAGTGTTTATATCAGTGACAATCATAGACAGTAAAAGGTGACAATGAACATTTATCAAGATCAGCTAAATGTAGTTGTATTTCCCCTCCTATCTATTATGGAAGATCAAGTGAAGTACCTATGGCTACGTTCACACTGCAGGCTGAAATGACCTAATTCCGATTTTTTTGCCCCTTATGCGACCTGTATCTGATTTTTTCATGACAGTCTGAACGACACAGATCCGATCTTTTCAAATGCGACCCAGGCCACTTGGGTATGTGGTCTAAATCCGATATGTATCCGATCTTTTGAAATGCGACTTCAATCTGAACGGCCAGGTCACATATATCCGACCCGCACGTCATTGCACGCACCTGTAGCTAGCCAATACACGCTAACTCCAACGCGTTTCCTCACTGTTATGGGCCACTGCAGATGTGTCTCTTCCCCAGTGTTGTGCCTGAACGCGTTCAATGAACGATAGTGCATGAACGCGTTCATATTTTCGCGTATCATATTATTCACGTTCGCCCGAAATAAACATACTGTATTACTGCCTGATGAACATTACTGTGAACACGTTCATTCTGGTGTATGTGAACATGCGCTCTCTGTCAGTATAACTTTGTACAGTAGGGTGCCAGATATAGAGCCTTCCAA